CCCCTCGACACACGGGGCAGGTCAATTTCAGATCCCTGTGTTCTAGCATCCATCTTTGCACGCAATGAAAGCAGAAAATGTGTGCACAGGGGAGTAAAATGGGGCTTAAGAAAATTTCCAGACAAACCGGACAGGTCACCTCCTCTTGCAGACTCTGGGCCATGGTCTCTGAAGGTCACTCCTTGGCAGTGAACTGAGCTGAAGTTGCCCTTTATTAGCTTCTGAAAGCAATTGGGAGCCTTCAGTACACAATCTGCTCTTCAATAATCAGGATGTACCTAAATCCAATACAAACATTAAATAGTATAAATCTTCCTGCAGCTTATACAGGAAAGCAGCACTAAATCACCAGAGAATCATAGTAAAAGCACTATCTGTGAGAAAAACAGGGAACCATGTATCTTTGAGAGAAGCTAGGTGATCACAAAAGAGAGACAGGACAGCGGACATTATCTTTTCAGGTGGGGCAGCTGACCTGTGTGGAGACGCCCAGACAAAGTCTTCTCTGCTCTGACCACAGCTTCTCTCTGTGGGAGCTGAGTGCAATGAGGCCTTTAGCAGGATCTGGGAGCCCAGCTTCTGCCTCTAATCTCTGTAGGTCACCTGCAGTTCAAGAAAAATAATTTGCATATCCAAATCCAACTATAAAAATAAAGCCAATCCGACTTAAGCGGTCACAGAAAAGTGGCTCTAAGAAGCCCTCAGTATTTCAAAGAAAACCACCATATGTAAGTAAAAAACTAGAGAAAACCACTGCAAAATGGTTGAGATACCCATTACAGAATCAATTTTAAGGATGAAGTATCATTCAGATGAAATACTTTGAAGCACTCTTAGAAAACTCATAAGGCTTGAGTATGAATAAAAACATAACCATTGTCACGAACTTCTCTAAAATAAATGTCTGAACACAAGCCAAAAAGGTGTTCCTGACAAGGAAGATGCCCTCCAGTTACAGCATCCTCTCGCTCCTCCCGGAGCTCACTCCTCCCAGAGCTCACTCCTAGAGACACCTCCTGGGCCTTCCTGCAAAGGTTGTGTACTTTGAGTGAGGGCTTGGAACAAGTTGGGCCCCTGACCCAAAGACAGCCCCGCTTAAGGCTAGTCAGTGCCGGTGAGACAGTGTGAACGGAGGACTCTTCTTGAAAAAGGGCCTATACTGAATAATAACTAACAGAACTTCTTCCTGAGAATTCACAAACCACACGGTCAGTCGTGGCTGAAGTAACAGAATCAGAGACAAAAACATGAGCCACGCCATTGTTACCACAGAGGGACAGAGTAGGAAGGAATGGGCACTCCTGAGGCTAGCCCAGAAAAACTCGGTTGCTAGAACATCCTGGAACACGTTTCCTCATGTTCATCCAACAAATACTTACTAGGAACTTTCCATGCTCCCACCCTTCACTAGACTTTGGGGATACAGACATATGTAACGATAGACAGGACATCTGCCCACAAGGAACTTGGAGTCTTTGGAAGTCTTCCAGTTCCTGGATGGCATTCCAGTCTGATTGGGCCTGGCTGAGTGACAAGAGATACGCTCCTTCCTGAGGCACCTGGGTGGCTCAGATGGTTAAGCATCTGACTCTTGACTTCAGCTCAGGTCATGATCTCACAGGTCATGATCTCACAGCTCAGGTCATGATCTCAAGCCCCATGACGGGCTCTGCAATAACAGAGCTGACAGTTAGAACCCTGCTTGGGATTCTCTCTCTCCCTCTCTCTCTTTGCCCCTCACCCACTCATCACGCTCACAGACACACATACACTCTCTCTCTCTCAAAATAAATAAATAAATGTTAAAAAGAGTGGGTGGGGCGGGGGGAACACCTGGGTGGCTCAGCCGGTTGAGCATCCGACTCCAGCTCAGGTCATGGTCTCAAAGTTTGAGAGTTCGAGCCTCGTGTCAGGCTCTCTGCTCACAAACAGCTCAGAGCCTGGAACCTGCTTCAGATTCTGTGTCTCCCTCTCTCTCTCCCCCTGCCCTGCTCATGCTCTGCCTCTCTTTGTCTCTCAAAAATAAGTAATGTTAAAAAAATTTTAATAAAAGAAAAGAGATACACCTCTTCTTTAAATCCCCATCACACTTTCCAAAAACCTGAATTTTTTTCCTTAATGTTTAGTTTTGAGAGACAGAGCACAAGCGGGAGAGGGGCAGAGAGAGACAGAGGCACAGAATCTGAAGCAGGCTCCAGGCTCTGAGCTGTCAGCACAGAGCCAGATGCGGGGCTCAAACTCACGGGCCGTGAGATCATGACCTGAGCCAAAGTGGGACGCTTGACCAACTGAGCTACCCAGGAACCCCCCAAAACCTGACTTTTTAAGGCAAATTAAATATGGTGCTTACAATCTAAAAGAGCTTGCCCAACCCACCTTGGAATACATGCAAGAAAAAAATTAACAAAAGAAAAAAAAAATACTGCATTTGTAAAAAGTCCTTATCCGTGTTATCTATGACTCCAAACAATCAGAAACAATCTAATCATATAAAGATAATGAAATAATTCTGTTAATTATAATACAGCTATTAAAAGTAGCAATTCTTAAATTCCACATTTGAAGGAAATCCTATGGTATTTGTCTTTCTCTGACTTATTTCCCTTAGTGTAATACTCTCTAGCTCCATCCACATCACGCCATTGCAAATGGCAACAAAACAAATGAACACAGGAGTAAAACAAGAGAGGGAGGAAAACCAGGAAACAGACCCTCAGTGACAGAGAACAAACTGAGGGTTGCTGGAGGGAAGGTGGGTAGGGGAATGGGTTCAACAGGCGATAGGGATTAAGGAAGGCACTTGTGATAAGTACTGAGTGTTGTACGTAAGGGACGAATCACTAAACTCTAACCTGAAACTAAAATGACACTGTGTGTTAACTAACTGGAATTTAAATAAACATTTGGAAAAAAAAATTGATAAATATATTTAAGTAAAAACCCAGAAACAGCTTTAAGAAATAATGCTAGAAAATAAAAAGGAACCCTTTTAAAACACATACATTTGGCATTGAAAACACATAAAAATACATGTATGCGGGGGGCACCTGGCTGGCTCAGTCGGTTAAGCATCTGACTGCAACTCCGGTCGTGATCTCAAGGTTTGCAGTCCAAGCCCTGAATCGGGCTCCGTGCTGATAGGGCAGAGCCTGCTTGGGATTCTCTCTCTCCCTCTCTCTCTTCCCCTCCCCGGCTTGTGCTCTCTCTCTCTCTCAAAATAAATAAATTTTAAGAATATATATATGTATTCAAATAATAATAATAAAAAACACTTCTATGCATAAAAAAAAACCCACCTGAAGTTAATAAGTAAAAATTTAACTGACAATATTAGAGTAGAAGGTGGAAAAAGTTCCCTGACACAGGATAAGACTGACTCCAGAAATCTAAAGATAAAAGCATTTAAAAGATAACTCGTAGCGAAAGAGAGAGAAATAGGACAGTGGAAATAGCACAGAGGGAAGAGACTACTTACACTGATTTAGACAATTGCAGCCATCTCGTAGGTCCAAAGTCTACACCTCCACGTCTCCTAGCCTTAGCTTCTCTCTAAAGTGAGTTTGAGCTCAAGAGATTCTGGCCTTATATAGTTCCTATGACATAGTCTCCACCCACACGCAGGGTCATTGTCTCCACCCCAAAGATTGGATTATCTCAACCTGACCAAGTAAACTCAAGCAACCCTCCTCCGCGCGCAAGATGTTGGTCTGAAGTCACATTCAAGATTTTCCAGCAGTTATCCTCCGAGTTAAACTAACAAACCTACTGCCATGCAAATGAGATTCTCTAATTTCAGAGCTCAACTTTAAAAAACAAAATATTTTGGAGATCAAATACAGAAGCGCACTGCTGAAATCTAATGAAGTCTTGGCTAATGTAATAATTGGTGTTATCATCTCTGAAACTGTTTTGAGTGAGACCAGGATCTAGAACAGTTTCCATATCCTTGGACTCGGTGATTCTGCTCTTCGGGGACGGTTATCGGACAGGATGAGAGAGATAGCAACCAGGTAAGCCTGTTACCCCACCATAATTATTAGTAACATCCCCTTTTACTTTCCAATCTGTCCCAGTTTAAACAATAAATTATATAACGTTTATGTAAGAAGTAGAAGAAGCGTGCGTGGGTGGCTCAGTTTGTTGAGCGTCTGTCGATTTCAGCTCAGGTCATGATCCCAGGGCTGTAGGATGCATTCCCCTCCCCCCAACCCCCATTGAGTTCTGCGCTGAGCATGGAGTCTGCTTAAGACTCTTTCTCTGGGGCGCCTGGGTGGCTCAGTCAGTTAAGCGTCCCACTTTGGCTCAGGTCATGATTTGGGGGTCCCTGGGTTCGAGCCCTGCCCCCGCCCCCCCTCCACCCCCGCCGCAAGCTCTGTGCTGACAGCTCAGAGCCTGGAGCCTGCTTAGGATTCTGTGTCTCCTTCTCTCTCTGCCCCTCCCCCACTCACAAGCTCCCTTGCTCTCTTGCTCTGTCTCTCTCTCTCTCTCTCTCTCTCTCTTTCAAAATTAAATAAATAAACAAATAAATAAACATTGAAAAAGAAAAAAATATTCTCTCTCCCTCTCTCCATCTGCCCATCTCTCCTACTCACACTCTCTAAAAGAAAAACTGAAGTAGAAGAAGCAGTAAAATTCATAATGAAGGAGAACTATGACACAATAATCAAACAAAAGGGAGATGAAAGGTCAATGAATTCCGGTAGTTGAGGGAAAGTAAGAATAAACCCTCTCCCTGAGATACACACATTCTGAATAACCTCCCGTTCCTCAGCGTTCCTGCTCTTGCTGCAAAGCCAATTGACCAGCTTTTTTCTCTCTTTTTACCCAGTTTCTGTCTCCATTTCCATGAGTTAAATATCTATAGCGGGGGTCTGACATTTTTAAAAGGGTTTCATCATAAGCTCCTTTCCACTCTTAAACGTAACTGCAAATCCCCAAAAACTTCCTGTTTATACAAATTATACTTCTCCGTGTTTACAGTATTACACATGAAAACTGCAAACATTTCTAAAGATTTATTTAACACATTTAAAATAACAAAACTATTATATGGTAACATAAATGACATGGCTTTATAGACAATAAGTAGTTTCCAGAACAACCAAAAAAATACAATTAAGGTGGAAGAGTGTCATTATTTTGCGTGCTTGAAAACCTCTATAATTCCTAATCAACAAATACGGCTGCTTTCTCACATCTGCATCTGCTTGATTTGTCGCGATACGTTGTTTTGGTTGAACCCTGTAAAGAATATTTGGCTTCCCACAGATACTTAATTGGAAAAAGGAAGTCCACTGCTTCTCAACCAATTTCATAACTCCAAGCGGCAGCTCCAAATCTTAGTTTCTTGGCCACCAAAGACCCCAACGATGAACCCAACGGTCTTTTTCGTGTGGCTTCTGTAGTCTCAGAACTAATTCATACGATGTAGCTAAATATGAAATGTTTTTCTTCTTTCCTGCCCAATCATAGAAAGGTTCTTTTCATTTTTTTTCTTCTTAAACTATTCAACTGCAATAACAATGCCAAACCAGGTTTTTTTTTTCTATCATTAACATCTATCAGGCCCTCAGCAGACCATTTGTCACAAAAAGCATCACTGCTCACTGAGTTTACATTTTTCAGCCCGCTCTAATTGTGGCTGTTGCTGAGACTTTATCTGCTGGGAGAAATATATCTTCCCCAGAAATACTTTAATTCCCAGATTCCTCATAACTACTGTAATGCTGAATTTAGTAAGAAATGTCATTTTTCATGTTCAAGTGCTGAAAATACTTGAAGTCACTTGTGTGTAATATCTTAGCATCCTCGTGACAACAGATCAAAAATGTGTGTATTTTTTTAAGCTTTAGCGTCATTTTTAATGATCATTAGTGCTTCCGTGAGTTAAGACTAAATCACAAAATAAGCTTGTTTCCATAGCTCCCTGATTAAAAAAGAAATCGACTTTCACACTTGCTAGTTAGATAAGATACAGCCATTGATGGGGGAGCCGGGCACAGTCAGCCCGATCAGGAGTCTAAGATCCCTGCAAGGAGATGATGTATTCGTTCCAAACACCGTTTGTATTTTTCAAAAGGCAGCAGCTACAGTGGGGCGGCTTTTCACAGAGAGCTTCCTTCCGCTGGCGCTGGGCTTTCTCTGGTTTGCAGCCTCCTCTTTTCGCCAAACCTCGTCCTCCCTGGCTCTTGGCTGCCTGGTCACATTAAAGTGGACCCGTCTGTCTAAATGGGAGAAGGTGGAGGGCACGTCTCTGAATTAGTAATGTCGCCAGAATTTGCTAATAGAGTTCCCACACTCTCCTCTTCAAAGGGAGCCTATATTACAAACCTGGCAAACCCCATAAAGAGAATATTTGTGGCACTTTAGAGAACAGGTTTCCCCCACCATCCAAAAGTAGAAGGTTCCTATGAAAACTTCCCTAAGCTGAAATGGTGTAAAAGCGAAGCAACAATCTCCATTGATTTAGATGGACATTTTTTTGAGTGTCCCCAGACTCAACATTTAATAACCTCTTAGGCATTTCGGATACCTTAGGATACATGTTGCCAATGGATGCAGAAAATAAAACAAGAAAAAGCCCAGATGCGACCACGCTGTTTCAAAGCTCTGGCAGCTGGACGCTGAGATGCTGGGTGTAATTCCTGGGTGAGGCGCTTGGTGGCGCCACTCCGCTGCCCCAGCGCGCGCTGCCTGTATAATGGTTCCTGTCAAACGCTGAATGCTATCTTCGCTTCCACATTTTTTTTTTTTTTCGGTCAAAGTGCAAATTCTCTTTGCATTGCTTTCAGTTAGCGAAGACAGGTACTAAGGTAGGTCTTTTATAAAAGCAAAATGGTGTAACATTTGCTCCCCCTAAAGCAGGGGGAGACCTGCGGGCAGAATGTCCCAGTTTCGCACTAATTTTCAGAAACAGACTACAAAAAGGGACCATTGGACTCCATAGTTATACCTTTGATATGTAACCTCTACTCTCATCCTATTAATGGGCCTCATGTTTTTTGTTCCTTTGAAGGGTTTTCATTTATTGATTTATTTATTTGCCCAAAATTGGGAGGAAAAAAAGGGAATGTTCATGTGGCTTATTCACGACGTGTGTTCCTTTCTGTATAAGAACTGGCAACAGAGGTCTTTATCTGCGGCAAATTACCTGTGAAAAGAACAAGCTCTAACTTGGGTCTCTATGTGTCAATGACCTTAGGCCACCCACCCTCAAAAAAAAAAAAAAAAAAAAAAGGAGTAGCGCTTAGTGACCCCAAATGGGCCCACGCTCCTCCCAGCTCGAAGGTCCCAGATGCTGAGCAAAGGCTGGAGGGAGACAGTGTGAATGTGAGTGAGCGGTGAGTGTGCCGGAGCGCACACACACATGTGACCCTGCCCCTCGAGCTGTTGCTCTCTCGGGGTTTCCAGAGCCAACTAGAAGTGTTTTCAGATTACCCATATGTTTTCTCCTCCGGGTTCGGACTGTCAAAATATTTTTGCGGAGGTGAGGAAGTCGGAGTCAAAATAAATTTCCTCTCCACCTAATTAGCTGACGCTCGATGTATTATCAAATAGAGCCTGCAGATCTCTCACAACAAGTTGTGTTTCACCCCCCCACACACACACCCGTCCTGGGAGTAGAGGTACATCAAGGCGAGTTGCCTGCAGTCCTGCCAGCAGCTGCTCAGCCTCACAGAGGTCAGAGACTACCAGTCCGGCCCAGGAAACAAGGGAGCGATCCAGGCTTGGTAACGCCCCCCTCCACCGGTTCATCTTCTTTGGTGGCTGTCCATCCGTCTTCGGAGACACGCCAAAGCCCCTACCATGGCTTCCTGGCCTCTGCCCCTCTCTCCAGCCTCATCCTCTCGAATGTCGACATACATCCTTCTTTCATTCCTTCCCTGTGCTCCTCCACAATTCAGAACAGTCGGTTCCCTCTAACTGGAACCAGCCCCATCTAGCCACCCTGACAACGCCTATTCACCCATCATTCAGACACAGCTGGGGGGTCAGTTCTAGAGGGGAGTGTGGTCGAGGCCAGTGCAGAAGCCCCTGTTATATCCTCCTGTACTACCCTCCTGCATCCTTCCTTATGCGTGACCCCAGTGCTGGTTCTCCGTTTACTCATGCGGTTGCTTGACTCATCTGCGGTTCCCTCACATTGAATAAATCACACCCTCTGAGCACTTGCTTTCTGGCAGGCATTTTTCTAAGGACTTCACCTGTTTTCCAGCGTGGAATTCTTGTAGCTCTTTGGAAGGCACCTGCTGTCATCATCTTAAGCTCACAGACGATGACTTTAAGACTCTATCAAGCCAAGTGCCCTCACTGTTACGAAGCCTCCCTGGTGGCCTACCTGTAGTCATCTTTCACATGAGACCGAAATCAACATCTATCCTGCTCAGATCAGTATCTTGTGATGTCTCTATTTTATGCATACAATCCAATACAATTGAAGTCCGATTAAAATAGCCACTAATTTAATTCTTTTAGCTTCTGGAACTATAAATCTGTGCTGCCTTGATCGTCATAGTAACTCATCAGATCTGATCTAGGGATTGAAAATTCTGGATCCTGTCGATATTTTCTGCCATTTGTTTGCATCTTTTTGATAGTTTATCACCTAACTAAAGAGAGAGGTGTGACACATATTTCTAAATGACCTTATTATTACTTGAATGCCTGGGCATTAACTTTTTAGGTTTTTGTTTGTCTGTCTGTTTGTTTGTTTGTTTGTCTTCTACAATTCTATTAGTGAATTCTTTAGCATGGTATCATTGCCAAACAAGAAATGGTAATGACTAATTAACAAAGTCAGCACAGTCCTGCGAACACAACATAGGATGAATTATGCAGTCCAATCGTTCAATTCGTTATCATTTAAACACAGCACGGTGTCTTAGCAGCATGATGCCCATCGTCATGAGGTAGGGCCAAATAAACTAAGCAAGACAACTGTCCTGCTTCAGAAGAGCCAGCAACACTTTAAGCCTTGCACACAAACATCCACTGAGTATCTACTAGCTTAAGATACTCTGCTAAATACTAAGGGGATCCAAAACACAGGAATGACCCAGCTGACAATTTATATGTTACAATATAAGGAAGGGAGGTAAGACAAATATATGAGAAGGTAAGTAAGGTCGAGAAGTAAACAAGGCACTTTGTGGTGTATAATGGGCTGTTAGTCACCCATATACTTTTTTAACCACGTCTACATATAGATGACAGAAGACAACAGATTTGGCTGTTTTTGGACATCCTCTTTTCAGAACCCTCATGCCATTTAATGTTTATTTCTTAAAATCGAAGACCTTTGAAGTTTTATTTTATTTTTTAACGTTTACTTATGTTTGAGAGACAGAACATGAGCATGGGAGGGGCAGAGAGAGGGGGAGACGCAGAATCCGAAGCAGGCTCCAGGCTCCGAGCCATCAGCCCAGAGCCCGACGCGGGGCTTGAACTCCCGGACCGCGAGATCGTGACCTGAGCTGAAGTCCGACACATAACCGACTGAGCCACTCAGGCACCCCAAAATCAAAGACCTTTGAAAGCAATGCCAACTCATCTATCCTATGTGAATCAAATGGAAGTGATTCGTGTAGCTTTACTTTTCTAACCAAGCCCTCCTCTCACTCTAAACGAATTCCAATTATTTAGGGCTCTCCACAATAAAGTGTCTAACAAGTATTGTGGACTGATAGTTCATAGTGAATTTATTGATTGACTCATGTTGTCCTACCCCAAATAACGGACTAACTATTCTACCCCATGCGCCTGCTATAGCAAGACATCTAAGTGTCTCTATAAATGTGAGACATCTACAGTTCTGAAGCTCAGGAGAAGGATCTGGGCTACAGACATGGGCGTGGAAGGGATTTGTGTTACGCGGTACGTGTAAATGGTAGCTGGGGCATTGCCCATGACAGCCGTACGGTATGGGGAAGGAGGGCCTAGGGCAGAACTCTGAGAAACACCAGCATCTAGAGGAAGGGGAAGAGCAATCCCCAAAAGAGATTATTTCGGAGCCACTGAGGAAAGGGACCCCTGCAATCAGCAACATAATCCCATAATCCAAAGGCCTTCGGTGCACTGGGGCAACTCTGAGAATACCTAGCATTTCAGCCTCACTGGGCCCTGTGTGCCGGCAGAGGAAGTCAATTCAGGAAAAGCCAAAGCTAGGTGTTCTGGGAGACTGCGGAGGTCTGAAATCTAAATGGACAAAGAGATCTGGAAAAATAAATATGATGTAGCATATTTGTCCAGGTGGGAAAGGCCAGGCAGGCCACACACGCTGCAAGACAGAGGTCGGAGCAAAGCCCCCAGTCCCAGGACACAAATCCAGACAGAAGGAAAGGTTAGGAAAGCATGAGCATGGGTGCATGTCTACTTAAATTATTAAATCTCAGTGTAATTAAGTGCTGCACATGATTTACATATAACATTTCTCCTTTCCTCTAGGAGCTCCTATTCTAGGGAAATGTCCTTTTTAAAAATATCTGTTACTGATGTCAACTAAGGTCTCCTTTGCTAGTGTTTAATAATGAGCAGCATATTAAAAAGGGTTTCTTTGCTTATGAACGAAGTAATCACAGTTTCTAAATCTTCAACAAAACTCGATGCCTATCTCTTCTGTAATCAGAAATTTTACTTGCCTTAAGTACCTTTCGGGACTACTGAAAAATGAGCATTCTATTGGGGGGAATATGCAAAAATATATAAATGCTTTAAAAATAACCAAAGAAAACACAGTCGACGCTGACTGCTCAAATTAGGCTCCTCATGATGCTGAAAAGTCAAACCACAAAGTCCTAGTGTACTCAGCACGTACTTATGAAATGTCCAGAGGGCTTATCTATAGCTTGCCCAGAATGATCTTGTTTTAGGGATTAATAAAATATGAAGCATGGGAAGGTCAGCACATCGTATAACCAAAAGATTACACCATGCATTGAAGAAGAGTTTTGAGGTTCAGATTCTTTGCAGACTTAAATTAAAGAAGCTTAACATTCTTGGGGGTCAGAGCAGTTCAAAAGAACTGCAGTTTACTGATTCAGCAAAACCAAGTTTATGCAGAGACATCATTTCCTAGGAGGACAACCTCTTCCTCTGGCTGGGCTGGAAAAAAACAACATTCAGGTCCAGAGATGCAATCTCTTCCCAGTCATCTGCCCGGCTATGGAGGTCACAAGCTCAGGAATCTGTGTTGCACACTGCCATCTACCGCGTCTCTGTGGGAACT